TGTGTACACGACTGGGCCAGCCCCGATGACGCAATCTTAATCTGATTAAAATACAGATCTATATTTCTTTTCGTTTTTTTATACTTTTGACGGCCTACACTACATGACGATCTGGCAGGTTGTAGTGGAAGGTCATGTCAGGGTCATACGAGGGGCTTTTTACCTATGACGTCAGACTTTGATTAATCAATCAGCGTTGACGTTTCTAGTGGTTTACCCACAGTTCCGTGCACCGCACCGCACGCCAAGAACTGGCCGTAACAGACTGTTTCATTGGCTAATCCCTCACATCAACCGGAACGCGGTTTATATAACAACTCTTCCAGATCCTAGTGTTGTGAAGACAAGTAAAACGAAATTTTAAACTATAAAAAACGAAACGAAATAGGATCTGTGTTTTAATCAGATTGACGCAATCCCTGGGATTCAAGACCGGGGCATTCCAGGCGAAAGGTCAGTGTCCTATCGCTAGACTACCGAGTTCTGACGCCTGACAAGGACAGCTGTCTAGTCGTTCGTATGGGACGAAAACCGAGGTCTCGTGTACATATCGGCTTGCACGTAAACGATCCCTTGGCAGTGGCAGTTGGAATTTGATATAAAAGTAGGCCATAGCGCCGCTGGCCGGGCAATTTTTTCCTCATAGCACACTGTATGGAGTATGCCCGTCTTCATTAGCCGAGTTGGAACAGAATAGTAGGACATTAAACCGCATTTCATTTCATTTCACCCTATCCTGACAGGGAAACTATCTACCACACTGCTTTACCCGATACTACTAGATGAATTTAAAATGAAATGAAATCCGGTTTAACGCCCTAACTAGACGGATATAATTAGGCCATAATAAGTGACGGGTATCGAACACGAGGCAGAGTATACTTATTATAACCAGAACATCTGACAACTTTCAGAAATCCAGTGTTACTTAGATTGTTAGTATTGTACTTTGGTATACTATTAACTAAAAATACAGCCATACATCCTTTACATGCGGTACCTCTCTATTTATAACTGGACGTTAAACATCATCCTAATTGGATTAGTAATAATATATTCCTGCAGCTGAGGTAAAAGTTATTCAAAAGTTCCACTGGTGTTTTGTATGGTAAAATGACGAGTAAAAGGAGTTTTGCCAAGGATTCGGTCTAACAATCCTTGAGAACCAACATTAGCAGATAATCTTCTCTGTGATAACGCCTCAACCAATACCGTTACCATGACAACAGGTTCTTAGAATAACTGTACACCACGCCTCAAACATACAAGCTTGAAGTCGTATCACTTTTCAAATCACAGTTAGGCGATAGAACTTACACATGGGGTGTAATAGAAGTAATACTCCCAGAATATTTTAATTTCGATAACTTTTTTTATATGAAATCTATGGAGGACATATGTAGGAATTTATTTTATTACCGCGACTAAAATATTATGAAATATAATCTGTATACTTATTTTTACAATTTTAAAACTGCGCTACACATTTCTATCAGTAACTATACAAATTGGAAAAATGAGAACAAAGTTTTGTGAAAATAATGGGATACACTACAACATAAAATTACAATTCAACAAATAATAATTAAGAACAGTGTCATGAATTAGGCCCTGGCAACGTCCATTTTTTGGTGTTTAAAAAAGTCGATATATGTTAATCTAGGATTGGATGAAATTTGTTTGTTCCATGTCCATATAGACTTTAAATACTCCTGTTTAAGTAAAAATTGCCCGATATTTATGATATTAGATTTGTCGTGTTAAATTAACGAACATGGAAAGGGAAGTAACTCTTTTAAATGGTTTCTTCATTAGGATGCAGACCACTAAAGCCATTTTCCGTTGAATTCAAGATGAGTGTCGTCTTTGCCCAAATATAACTTTTGAACAAATTTTCTTTGGACCGTGCGGTCTCTACCACAGATGGACCAAACAGCTGCTAATGTATTACTTCACAGCATACACGCGATTGACCATGGAGAGTTTTTCGTCTCATCCGAATGACTAGACAGCTGTCCTTGCCAGGCCCTCCTTGCTGCATCTCTGACAAGTGGGAACCACGCCGGAAAATCTGGGTGAACTTTCACCGCCAATGCAGGGATCGAACACCCGACCTCCAGGCTAGAGAGCCAGCGTCTTACCCACTTAGCCACCGTGACCCCCAGGGGTTGGGGTAATCGATGGTCCACCTTCATACATTCGTTTGAGAATGCTGTCCATAAAACTATTGTAAAACCAATCATTAACTACTAGACACCACCATCCAAAATATCACAAATGAACTAATTAAATAAAGAAACGAATTAAAGTAGTAATTCATGCTCAGTGCTTTTTCTGTACTTCAAATACATAATTACATCAAATTCAGTCAATTTTAATTGCTCTAGAAATCCTTTATATGTTTTGGAAAACAATATAAGCTATTTGTAGTCAATATAATATTGTTGAGTACTTCTCGTGTTATTCGGGCTTAATGATTCTTGATTCCATAAAAATGGTTGTGGGGTGGTTGGGCTATAGTATTATATTCGCCCTGTAAATCCAAAATTGGTCTTTTTCAATATGTCAATTCTCGTCTATGTTCCCGACTTCAACTTTTCCCAAAATGTTCGTTAGGTTAAATGCGTTCTGCCTTAGATGAACTACATCTTGATGAAAAGCATGTATGAAATTCATCATGGAAATCTTGAGATATGCAAACAAGAAGTAGCTTACTAGAAAGCAGGCTATAACTACCTGCCGTGCATTTCAACTTAACAAACCTCTCAAGCATACTCATCAAAATCTGGCAGAAATACCACCTTTTTTGGACTAATTGTGCACCACAGAATCAACAAAAATCGTCATGCAAAACAGATAAAGGGTGAAGAGGGGAAATTTCATTCGTAACTTGGGGGAATGGTTGGTGGCCTGTTCCAGTATGGAGGCAGACCACCATTAAATTTCACCATCTCGGTACCCAATTGTAGTTCGTCTATTTATAGCAATTCTCTCTCTCTTTTCTCCCCTTTTGCATGCCCATTTTTGTTGAATTTTTGGTCTAGAATGGACTAAGAGGGTTTGAATTAACATTTTCTGTCAGGTTTTGGTAAATATTCATGATTTTGAGGCGGAAGGATAACAGGGTTATCAGGTTGGCTACGGCGATATGTACGGCAACTAGTTACATGTTTTTAGTATGCTTCTTCAAGTCTGTGTATCTCAAAATTTTGGTGGTCAACCTCATACAAATTTTAGTGCAAAGAAATGACCATTTTTTCCTCTGTAGTGAAAAGCATTCAGCCCAACGAAAATTTGGGGAAAAGTTGGAGGTGGGCAAAGAGGCCAGAATTAACATTGAAGTCAATGGGGAAATTAATGGTGGTCTGCCTCCTGTATAAAAGTCGGGTATAAAATGGGGTTATCCCCCTTTACACATCTAACACCCCTCAACAAAAGATAGTCACCGAATAATGCGAGAGCAAGAAAATATCACAGTGAATGACATGCTCTTTTAAATCGACACACTAGAGTTATAAACTTTTTAGCAATTTGAGATGGGACCAGTAACAAAAGGTGTTGTTTAGTCGTAAACAGCGAACCGCATACAAATTTGGAATACAGAACCACACAGGTGTAATTAGAATCCATTAAAACTGTAGCCTTTGTCGCGTTCAGAACGTTTTCGGCATAAGAACTTGTATGAAGTGTTTTGGAAAGAGTATAAGCGGATCCTATCTCGCCCAGGAGATTGCAAGGACTTTTTCTATTTTCTCGCGGTAGTCAATTCTTTTTATGTATGGTTGGTTGCGAACAGTTTCCTCTCACAGTATCATATAACAGTGTGTGTGTGTGGGTGGGTGTCCGTTTGTCGCCTACAGGCCACAACTCTTGACGGATCGTCTTAAAACTTTGCAAATTTCTTCCATAAACACCACGCCGAACCCCCAAACCCAGAGCCACGCCTAATTTTCAATTGATCTTCTTGAAACTTTGCATACTTATTCCTTGTACCGCAAGGCAGAGCCATACTCAATTTTTGTGTGTGTCTGTGTGTCGCCTATAGACCGCAATGCTTTACTGATCGTCGTGAAACTTTGCATACTTACGCCTTATACCCTAGGGATGATCCCTATTGCTTTTGCATGCTCAACTCTTGGGGACAGAGCCATGCCCATTTTCTTAGTGTCTGTTAGTGGATGATCTTGGCACATTTATTCCTTAAACCCTAAGGACGACAGTTATTGATTTTGGTGCATGCCCATCCCCAAGGGGCGGTGCCACGCCCACGTTTTTGTCTGTAAACTCGTGACAGGTCGCAAGTATTAACATATGTTGTTCAATCATTCCAGTAACAGGATTGTACCTATTTATATTGGTCCATGTCGAACCGTCAGGGGTTGTGTTTTTAATCTACATGCAGGCCGCAAGTCTCAATGAATCTTGGAACTTGGCATATTTATTCCATACACCCCAAGGACATCAACTATTGATTTTGGTGCATGCCCCAACCCCTAGGGTTGGATCATCTTGGAACTTGGCACACCAACATTTTATTAATATTTTGTCTTTAAATTTATCAAAACCAACCCACCGCCTAACCTCTTCAATTTAAAAAGTACCATATCAACTAATGCTGGAATGTGGACGTATCATGCAACGTTAGCGTTGCTCTAGTTATATTTTATTCAGTGTTGTGTTGGATTTAATTTTTCTTTAACAATGATGTTGCATTCAATGAATGCAGACCAAATGTGGGATGTTGTGTTTACTATATCCGCTCAAGAGAGAAATGGGGGTTTCAACGTCCACTCATTTCAGGGCATGGTTCAATTCTATTTCAATAATTCGGTTGAACGTAGGGGTCTTTTGCAGTGGGAAGAAACCGGGGGACCCAGAGAAAACCCTTAAGATTGGACAATGTATGGAGAAATAATTTAATGGACAAACTATCTATGGATGTGGTATGGGTAAACAATTTATGGGCGTGGTTTAATAAAATTGGATAAACAATGTATGGGTGTGGTTTAATAAAATATATTTAATTGTCAAACAATCTATGGATTTGAAAAACAGTATAATTCATGAATGACAGTTCATGGAATGTACAATACAACATATTTAATTATGACCATTTTCGAATATATTTTTTTTATGATACAATACATTAAACATAAATTATGCAAGAGCTAAATCTGCCAATTGCAGGTCTTTCTTTAGGCCTGAAATGATATCTAAATTATTAATTAGACATTAATTAAATTATCCAGACCATAATTAACTCTCGGTGTCATCGCTAGCTTGCACATTGCTCGTACGGTACGCCAAAATCAAAGGATGATGTCACATCTGTATTTTAATTAGAAATATAACACAAAACGTTCTTGAGATATATAATACAATACATTAATAGTGTAACTATTTGTAGATGTAATATGACATAATATAATATATTACTGTCTCATGCTTCATGTTATCGCAATATGAATCCATTACAAACAACTATATTGTGAAATAAACAAGAAATACATAATACATAATATATTAAGAGATGAAATGATACTACAAGAGATAATAAACAGATGATTTACTGAATGTTTGATAGAGATACATAATAATAAAATTAGGAGATAAAATATGCAGATCGAATGACTGCAATGAAAATATGATATAATTTGTCTAACAGAGAATCTTAGATTATGACACAAAATGAGAGATTATATTTATTGACTAATATATTGTTTTCACTGATGCTCGGGTACTGGATCTTAGCCACCCTTCTTTTTCACAAGTCTACAACCAGACCACTGAATTATGTTTCTGTTACCATGACAGTGATCGGGCTAGATCGTCATAATAGAGACTTTTGGCAATCGGAATTTTTCCCATCCGTATCACGTATCCGTATCGTATACGTTACGTCAATGTAGTTTTAGTGTTTTGGCAGATTTTCGCGTCGCGTACTTATGCGTCTCTAGAGCTGAGCTTAGTTCTATTACGGCATCACCATCAGTACTAGTCTAGTGCCTAGCCTACAAGTCGCTGGAATATTAAAAAAGAAAATGTAATGTCAAATCTTATTAAAGATCTTCGACTTCGATTCGACAGCAATTTCTGAAAGTTTGTATCCCTTTACATAGAACAAAATCATTTACAGATTTGCAAGATCCCACCTCCCTAAATTTAGCAGCATGCAGACAGACAGGAAAAGTATGAAAATTCCGAGAAAAACCCATCAAAAATAATGATGAAATTCCAGTCGTTATCATGGTTAAAATCACATCAAATATACACTTTCATGTTCTGAGATAGCCTACACATAGATTCATAAAAAGCTATGACACAACATTTCAGCGTCTAAAAGTAGTAAAAAGACGACAATGTTTTCCGTATGAAAGCTGTTCGATACGTGCTGTCGTATCCGTATGCCGTATCGCGTATGAGAAATACACACACACTGATAAAGTCACACGCGAAATCCATAAGGATACGGGATACCGACCAGGAATTTACGCTTACCAAAAGTCTCTACTATCGCGGTGGAATTTCACTCAGCCGCCATTGATAACTTCCATGTAAGACATTTGTGTCAAATTAATTAGGTATATCTATTAGCTTTTTATTTAGTTTAAATTACATATGAAAACAATCTCTTAGAATGCTACCATCTTTCAATATCCACGTCACCCGTCACTACTGATATCGTGCTAATGCTAGGTTCCCGACTTTACTATAGAACTCACAATAGGCGTCACTGTCAGAAATGTCGGTCCCGACATGCTTTATAGAATCATATGGTAAGGAAAGAAGCCTATGCAACAAAATTTCTCACACATTGTTTAATAAAATATAATAAATTGAATACTAATGTATCACAAAACATTCTAAAAAAATGAGTAATTCGTTAAAACAAAACAAGCGGTTTCCATGCAGGATATGCCAAATTTTGCAACCGATTGACAGAGAACAAGCTAAAAACGAGGTCCTTCAATTAGGCGCCATAATCTAGGAAGTTACAGTCCTATATGTGCCAATGTTGAAAAGAGTCGGGATCTTTGGCATATAAAAATTCTAAGTTTCATCAAAATTGAAGAAAAATTGTGACTTCTGGAGGGTCCAAAAGCTAAAAACGAGGTTTTCTTACAATCAGGGGCTTTGTTTCGGTTTTTTATAATTTCGATGGTATCTAATACATGACGATTTGACCAGTTGTAGTGGGAGGTCGCGCCGGGGATCATGCGGTCGGCTTTTGGCCCTATGACGTCAGACATTTGATAATCCAACCAGTGTTGATGTTTCTAGTAGGATACCCACAGTTCCGTGCATCGCACGCCGAAAACTCGCTGAAACAGACCGTTTCTTTGGCCAATCCCTCACATCAAACAGAACGCGAGTTATATAATAACTCTTCCGGGTCCTAAGGTAGTAAAGACAAGTAAAACGAAATTTTGAACTATAAAAAACGAAACGAAATAGGATGTGTTTTAATCAGATTGTAATCCAATATCGAAAGGAGCCGAGATCTTTGGGATATAAATCTATATCTCATTTTTTTTTAAAAATCGGATTATAATTGTTATGGTCCGATATGCGCCAACATCGAAAGGAATCAAGATCTTTTGGATACAAACATACGTTTCAAGTTTTATCAAAATAAGATAAAACTTGTGACCTGTAGCTTATCCACAAAATATGTAAACGGGCGGACAGGGGCGACGACAATATACGTCCACATGAAAATGGTGGTTTATAAAAAGGTAATTCGAGCAAAGTCCTCATCTCCGAACTATTGATCGATCTGTCGAGCTTACTTTACCTTTTCAATAGATCCGTCAAGATTCGCAGATTTCGATACATTCAACGCATTTGTAACTGACTGAGTACTCCCACGATCATCTTCGGCACTAATTTCGATTGGCTTCTGACCCAGCTGGAGGGCCTATCAGATTACTCGATCAACGCGAATACCAAGTCTCGCACTTTTCTGCTAAAATGTCTACCTGTGATAATCGAGTTTCAGACCTGTCTAGTAATGTCTAGATGTTGTAAAACTCGCTTCAGGAACATGTCTCACAACCAGCTTTTGCCATTCTCGCTAAATACTAAATTGCATTTGTTTACTTATCGCACTATAAAAATTAGGGTCTATAGGTTTGAATTTATTAGGGTCATTCAGAATTCCATGCTCATGCTTGGAAAGTAGGGGTACTCCGTTATACAAGGCCACTTATTGCGTAAGCGAATTGATTGGCCGGTCGTCCAGCAGCGCGCGAGGAACAATACTGATTACACAAAGAAATTTAAGATAAAATAAAGATGTATGAATACACAGCTCTTATAAACCTTCCAAATAAAAGTACCTTAAGATGTTTTATTGCTAATTATCTTTGGGGTCGCTAAACAGTATATTTATGGACACATTTTTGTGAAAATCTCAATTTCGACCAAAATCTACACATTTCACTTGTTTTAGCTGTAGCCCCGATGCGCATTCCGAATTATTTTGTAGGTTGTGCACCTTTAGATTCAAGGAAATTAATCTTTTCCTTCTGTTGAATATTTGTTTTTAAACACCAGAATAAAGCAGTCTCATTATCATAGTTCGCATAATTTACATCGTATCCTGCATCATTGACTAACAATTTTACTGTATCTAATGTACCCAGATAACAGCTATGATGTAGTGGATAACTACATTTACCATAATTATCCTCGTCCCCAAAGAAATCTTTATATGGTCGACAAATTATTATCATAGCACCATTTTGAATCAGAAAACTGATCTTTTCCATCATTTGAATGTTTGTTTTTAAACACCAGAATAAAGCAGTCTCATTATCATAGTTAGCATAATTTACATCGTATCCTGCATCATTGACTAACAATTTTACTGTATCTAATGTACCCAGATAACAGCTATGATGTAGTGGATAACTACATTTACCATAATTATCCTCGTCCCCAAAGAAATCTTTATATGGTCGACAAATTATTATCATAGCACCATTTTGAATCAGAAAACTGATCTTTTCCATCATTTGAATGTTTGATGAAAAACACCATAATAATGGAGTATCATTGTTCCGCGACTTTTGATTTAGCCGTACTTCATTTACAAGATATTCAACAGATTCAATAGTACCATATAGACAACTAAGATGCAGTAAACTCATATTATCGTTATCTACTGTATATAAACTTGCCCCATTTAAAAACAGGAATTTCAGTTTTTTTACAGGATTTATCATAGAAATAGAACAGTACGCAGCCGGTGTCCAACCTGTAATATCTTGATGATTTACTTCATTTACAAGATATTCAATAGTTTCAATAGTACCGATTTGACAACTAGCATGCAGTAAACTCATTTTATTGTTATCTACTACATCTGAACATGCCCCTTTTGAAGACAGGAATTTGAGTTTTTTAACAGGATTTACCTTTGATATAGAACAGTTTATAGCCGGTGTAATACCTGTATTGTTTTCATGATTAATATCCAGCCCTATTATTTCATTTACAAGATATTCAACAGTTTCAATAGTGCCAAATAGACAACTAGCATGCAGTAAATTCGTATTATAGTTATCTACTACATCTAAGCTTGCTCCTTTTGAAGACAGGAATTTGAGTTTTTTTATAGGATCAATATCCGACATCACAGAATAAAATGCAGGAGTCCAACCATTCTTGTCTTTTTGATCTAAGTTTAATCCTCTTTTATTCCCCAAATAATTGACCGTGTCAATAGAACCACGACTACAGCTGTAGTGTAGAATATTGCAATTATTTTCATCTACCACTTCATTAAATTCCATACCTTTATTGTGTAAATTGTCTATCTTATCAACAGAGTCACAACACATTAAAAAAATATATTTATTAAAAAGCTTGCGGTTTGTACTATTTGTCATTTTACAATCTAAGATATATTTTAACTTGACGTTATCCTGTAGTTTTGTTGCTTCATTAATCATTGTCTGGATATACTTGTTCAGGGTATCAATAGTAATCATGTTTATTAAGAATTCAAAACACTTTATGTCAGCATTAGCTATTATTTCAAGTAAAGGAATTAACTTGAGGTCATCAGCCTCGTGTAATACTGACCCGGTTTCAATTAACTGATTTAGAATATGGGTTACATCGACACCAGTTCTACTGCCAAAAGAGCTGCAAACAATATGAATAGGTAATCTGTCCATATCATCTTTTATATCAACCTTTGCTCCATGACTTATTAAAATAGATACAGTCTGTTTTTTGCCTCGCGCAACTGCCAGATGAAGCGGCGTACTGCCACTTGCATCTTTGGCATTTATATCAAACCCCCTGTCTATCAGAAAATTAATTATTTCATGATTATCGTGGTGTGAATCACAAGCATTATGAAGAACTGTTCTTGACTGACTATCAAGCTTGCTTTGGTCGAAGTTTATAAAGTTATTAATATATTCAACAACTTTAAAGTTATCTGAGTAAACTGCCAAGTGTGGCAATGCCGATAGGTCTTTGATTCCGACTTTTTTTCCTTTTAAAAGTTCTATTTTGTAGATAGGGTCATGCATCGAAACAGCAGCAAGTCCCATGATATCGCATCCATTATGTGTTTTTTCACCAACTAATTCGTGTATCTTTTTCATAAAAAACAAGAGTGATGCCTCAAGGCATAATTTGTCACCGTAAAGAGTGATGTAATGAATAAAATTGCCCCTTTCTTGGATTCCCCGAATATATCCCAAATCTATATTTTTGGCGTCATTTAAGACATCAACAACACCTTCCACACCAAGAAAATGTGACAAAAATTTATCGTCAATAAAAGCAGGATGGCAGACGATATCAGCATTCCCATTATGTAATTCTTTTAAAAAGCGCATTGAAAGGTCTGTATAATAGTCGTCATTGATTACAATGCACCATTTATCTGAGTGTTTTGTTCTAACAAATTTCATCAAAAGTTCAAGAGAGCAGTATTGTAAAGCCATATCCGTGCATTTGCAAGAAAGATGGCGTAAAAATGCCACCTCAACAAAGTTTCGCAATGAAAATATTATATTATTTTCTTTAACACATTTAACGAACGAATCTGAAAGGGCAATGAGGATGCTTTTTGCTATTTTCAGATTTAACCCTGACCACACTGTTTTAGTAATTTGCGAAATAAGAGACGCGACTCTTGCGGAAGACGTTTGTTTAAGGTCTTTATCTGAAACTGTATGCAAGCTAAATACTAACAGTAGTGTAGCATATACATATTTATTTGTTTTCCAAAACGTTTCTAATTCCATAAGAAGAAATGCATGGGGATCTTCCGAAAATCTATTACACAAACTGACAATCGATGGAAAACCGAAGCAGTCAATAATTTTGGATATTATCTTATCAGAAGATATTCCATAAAAATATAACATATTTTTTTTTTCTTCATTGTTTAAAGAGAATTCGCTTTTATGAAGAAATAATTGAGTTGTCTTTTCAGTATCATCAACAAATAAACAATATTTGTCTAATTGATATTTAGAAGTATTGTAAATATAATCCCTCATTACATAAATGATAACCACTTTTCCTTTTTCTTTATTGATTCGAAAAGTATTAAAATGAGTGGGCCATTTATCAATACGTGCATGTAATGTATTATATTTACCAAACATGTCATCGATGATAAAAAGATACTTATCATCTTCAAAGTTCACATACCCTAAATCTTCCAAGTCATTAATCAATAACGGTTTATATTGCGGACAGTCTGCAATGAATTGATTGGCTATCATCATTGATAACGTAGTTTTTCCATCTCCGGCCGCTCCTATTATTCCCAGGATATGATGATTCTTCAGTATCCTCAAACCTTCATCAAGAGCACGGGTCTTTACATACTGTCTTTCTTCAACATACTGAAGGTTTATCTGTGCTTGGCCTGCAAACAAAAGGTAAGTTTATTGATATAAGCTATACAAAGAGTCGGCTACTAATATATAAATTTCTAAAACAGAAAAAAACCCAGCAACCTGGAAACACAAAGTGTAAGAAACAAACTTTTATTCAATCTTGTACATTTCAACATAATTATTACTATAGACGAATTTGAAACTTCTGAATATGAACTAAAATTCATCAAGATATCAAACACCGGATATTTACATTTACTCTATGAACACATGACACAAACGGTCTCAATTCTACAAACCTAGTTGATTTTTTCCCAGAGATAGAACGACCATATACTTATGTATCCAGATATGGAACATATCTCATGGCAAATATCAGTTTTTTGCCAAATCCGGCCAGATCGACACTATCTAGTGTTAATTATTAACGGCTATCAACAGTCATTAATGATAACTGGAAGCAACCATTTTTAACTTACATATTTAATTTCATATTCTCATCTTTCGTGACCTTATTGCAATAAATGGCTGTGTGAGGGTTGGGATAGGGGGGACAATTCTTTTTTTTTCAGAATCGTAATTAAGAAAGACGTAGTGTACAAATTTATTTACAACATTAGTATTATGCATCTTTACAATATTTTGGAAGAGAACCAGCCCTACTGTCTCATTAAAACCAATACCTGCCCATACCATGATGCTTCGTAATCCCCATGGATCATGTTCCAAAACATTTCTATCATACCGCTCTCGTCGTCTGCGCCATATCCTCACCCTGCCACCTGCTCTGGACACACAAAACCGTAAATAAAACTCTTTGCCATTGCCGCCATTTGCGATATCTTCTAGCCAATTGCAGGGGTCGTCGACGGTGTTGTAATGTCAGCTCTGGTACGAAAAACCGAGGTCCCTTGTACACATTGGCGTACACGTAAAAGATCCCTTGACAGTTGGAATTCGGTATAAGTAGGCCGTAGTGCCGCTTTCAGGGCGAAATTTCCCTCATAGTACACTGTAGGGCGTATGCTCGTCTTCATTAGCCCAGTTCGGAGTAGGACGGTAAACCCCATTTCATTTAATTTATAACATCGTTACGTGAAGTGATTTATTGAATATTTTTACAGCCGTTTAACACCCATTGGTAACCAGATCTGCGCGTACTTTTAGCATTCACGACAAATCAAGCGGAAGTGCATAACATGGATAATCAACAGAAAGTCATTTGTAATCCATCATTCCGGAAGTTATGTGGGCCCCCCCCCCCCACAAAAAGAAAATGGACCTGAATTTCACATATTACATTTACCCGACCATGTGGGTACAAAATAATCACATTGAAATCAAAACTACACACGTACCATTAGTTATAAAACGTGCGCCTCTTTTGTCGTTCCATTCCTATTCTTACAACAATTGTTTTCAACATTCGGATGATCCTTCCTCCACAATATCATAAATATTCACCAGGAAATGCAAATACAAACGGTCATCTAGGATTCATATCCAAAACGTCAATAACAATTGTCGTAAATGGATTGAGGGAGGGAGAAAGGGGGACTTGCTGTGAATTCACAAAATCTGATCTCATACGGCGGCTGATGTAATTCTCTTTTTTTTTTAATTTGATAAATCAGTCATATAATCAAGAATTGTGCTGCGTATCCTAATATACGCGCGTGATATAAGAACTGTCATCATGCCACCACCTCACTTGTAGATTGTACTTGCCCATCTCATTATTCTCCTGTGATAAGCACCTGATCAATAGTTATCATTATATAACTAATTTCACATTAATCATAATATACTATTCAAAAAAAGTAGGGGATATTTGATTTTGGGGGCATAATACTAAAATATGCAAATGACTACGAAAAAAGTCACTATAGAACCTAACAGAAGAAACATTTCCAGTTACATGTGACGCCCAAACGCACCAATAGCTACCGCATGGAATGCAGGTGATGCTTGGGATCATCATGGGGGTCCAACCCAAGATTTGCATGAATGTTACAGTCATTGTGGCATTGAATTCCAGGGTGGAAACATCAGTTTAATTGTTTTAGCGACCAGAAAACAAATTTTGATATGCGTCGGCTTACCCAAAATGAAAGGTTACGTGCCCTTGGCATGCTACAGATCGGCACAACACAGGCGGTTGTGGCGCGGACGATGAATGTTTCTCAGTCTGTCATAAGCAGGCTATGGTCCAGATACCGTGATACACAATCTGTACAGGACAGACCACGCTCAGGTCGACCAAGGGCGACAACTCAAGCCCAGGATCGATTTATCTGTACCTTGGCCTTGAGAAATCGTGTCATCACAGCAAATCAGATCAGCGCTCGTCTTCAAACAGACACTGGTGTGAGAGTGAGTGGCCAGACGATTCGGAATCGACTGCATAGGGGTCACCTTCGCGCCCGACGTCCTCGCGTGATCCCTTGTTTGAGAGATCATCACATTCAGGCAAGACGTCGTTGGTGTAGGGATCGTCAACACTTGGATAATCGACGCTGGAGCAATGTGATGTTTTCAGATGAGTCAAGGTTCACTGTTGATTTTTTGGACAGACGTAGGAGGGTGTGGCGTCGTCGAAACGAGCGCTTCCAAGACGTTAACGTCATCAGACATGATCGATTTGGGGGTGGTTCTGTTATGGTGTGGGGAGGCATCACTGTTGCTGGAAGAACGGCTTTACATGTTGTTGCAGGGCGTGTTACAGGCCAGTACTACCGGGACAACATCTTGGCAGTCCATGTTGTGCCGTTCGCACGACGTCATGGCCGCCGTTTCATCTTCCAGGATGACAACGCAAGATGTCACAGGGCCAGGATCGTTACAGGTTACCTCCAACAACAGAACATCACCACATTACCTTGGCCAGCACTGAGTCCCGACCTCTCCCCCATCGAGCATGTCTGGGACATGCTTGGATAGAGGTTACGTCAACGTCAACAACGTCCTGCCAATGTCCAAGAACTTGCTGCTGCGTTGCAACAGGAATGGGACAATCTGGACCAAAATGACCTTAGACGTCTCATTAGGAGTATGCCACGTCCGATCAATGCTTGTTTGGCAAACAGAGGAGGATTTACCCGTTACTGACTTGGTTGTGATGCTGTGGTAACTTTGCTGTTTGACCCCGGGTATCATTTTACCCTTATAATGGTCAGTCTGTGCCTTACTTAGTCTAACGATCATTTGGAATAAATCGATGAATGTGAACTTCATTTCATTTTGTCATTTGTTTCTTCGTCAGTTTCATTAGGTGACTTTAATAACACTTAAAAATCAAATATCCCCTACTTTTTTTGAATAGTATATATTGAAAGCTATACCCTACCTTTCATTGTCCTAACCCTGGGGCTATCTGCACTCCTTTTACCTGAAATACATGTAGATACAGAACAATAACCACGTCCCAGATAACCCAATACACCTTAAACTTTAATAATGACATTTCAAATTTCAAAGTTGTGCTAGGCAGGAATCGATGCACTACATAGTAGCAACTGTTTATATTCTAAATTGTAGTAACTGGACCCATGGTCTGGTCATAAAACTAAATAATGGGAAATTATGAGTTACTTACCAAATAAATCAAAGAGAAAATCTGATCTAGCAATTGTTACCTGTTAATATAAAACAAATATACTAATTACAGATGTTGTTTTGGGAGGAAAAGCTCGGCGAGACGTTCCAAAATCAAATAAACTCATGTGTTTCAAAGATTGGTTGCCATGCCATGAAAAATACTCTTACAGCAGCTAAGTCATTCGAGCAGTCGACAAACGTTGTCGCATATTTAGTCGTTTGTATGTAGTTTCCAAGACACTAAAACTAATCAACATCTCATGAAGTAATTATCAGAAATAATTAAAAAATGATTGGCTTCTATTTCATCATAGCACTAACATTTATTTATATAAAACATGCACCAGTAATCAGATGATACCTTGAGCTGTCTGAGTATCAGACATCGTTTAAATTCAATAGTGTTCTTCGTCTGATAAAAACGGTGTACAATAATATTTATCAAAAATTGAATGGCTTCTTCGTCTCATGAATATAAATATTGCGCATAAATTTAAAAGCAATTGAAAAATAACTTTATTCTCAAAAGGATACAAAGATACTAACAAATATGAATACTTTGAAGATAGACAAAATTATAAAAATATTTATATTATCACGATGCCATGTGCCGATGGGGTCAAAGTTGAAGACAATTAACATACGGGTTATTGGTACGATCTTCCTTCACGGTTTGAGAAACGAACACGTGTGTAATTAATTCTTTGGACTGACATGTTAACTGATTGAAACAGGTCATTTCGTAACCTGTCAAAGTAGGGGAAGATAAAGAAATGAAATGCCAAGAATGGATGAATTAGAAGCGTATCGCCAGGACCGTAACAGCCCCCCCCCCCCCAAAAAAAAAGTTTCGCCCATAAAAATAATAGATATACATTGTCCGTCAATATTACAGCACCCCTGAGAACACTTCCCGCCCCCCTTGTTGCTCTGAGCTAGTTACGGCCCTGCGTATCGCTAATAGGTTAAAAAATTAAAACAATAGAACACTTATGGTAGAATGTGTCAAGGAAAAACATTCAGATTTACTCTTAAAATCTGAATCCTTGGTCAACATTCCTATCAGAGTGACACCGCATAAATCATTAAATTCTTCGAGAGGTGTTATTCGCTGCCGGGAACTTGAAGGCAGTAGTGAGGAGGAAATGGTAGATAACCTATCGTCACAAGGCGTGTCACACACAAATACTTACATTCTCACTTTCGATCGTCCCGACTTACCCAAATCTATCAAGGCCGGTTATTTGAATATACCTGTTGATGCATATATCTCTAATCCACTGAGATGCTTCAATTGCCAAAAATATGGACACAGTAAAATGCGCTCGATGTGGCCTTTCAGGTCATGATAGCGCTACCTGTTCATCCGAATTTTCCTGTGTCAATTGTAAAGGCAAGCACTTTGCATATTCGCGCGAGTGCCCAATACGGCAAAAGGAGAAACAAATTCAACAGGTAATGTCCGAACGGAAACTTTCTTATTTTGATGCAAGAAAACAAGTAGATCTTACTTCGCTGTTTTCGACTTCCCACGCCGGGAGGTCGTTTTCTAGTGTAGAAAAGAAGTCTCCACAAGATCCATATTCGTTCAGACCGAAGTAAGCTGGCCCAGAAAAGAGAAACATCCCAAAATTATTGATCAGCAAACCAGTAAAGAGATCTCGAGCTCTTCTCAAACATCTGGGAGCTCGATGAATATAATTAAGAAGATGAGCAATTCAACTCCCCTCTCTTCATCCGCAACATCTTCCGAGACTTCTTCTGCAAAGGAGAAGTCTGTGATTCCGACTGGGAAGAGCGGTAGAAGGACAAGCTCTTTGCCATCGTCACAGATATCTGATGGAGGTAAGGACAGACAAAATTAAAGTCCTTCACCATCAAAAGAGAACGAACATATATCTAAAAAAAAGAAGAAAAAAACAGATTGGCAAAGTTAAGAGGGAGGGAGAAGAAGTTGTCTTTTAGACATTTTGTTGATTACCATCATCATTCAATTGGTGATGGTAGAGCTCATGGGGGTGTTTCTATTATTCTTAATGGAGACATTCCTCAGAGTCGGGCCACTCTCACCTCAACTCGCCTTTACAGGCAGTTGCAGTTAGGGTGACATTACATATTCCTATAACACTGCTCTGTATATCTTCCACCAAGTTTATATCTTAATCCCAGAGATATTGATGACCTTGTTGCACAACTTTCTCTCCCGTTTATATTTATGGGAGATTTCAATGGTCATCATTCCCTCTGGGGTAGTCTAGATGATAACAGCAGAGGTAAACAAATAGCGGACTTCATTAACCTTAATAATTTGTGTTTATTAAATGATGACTCGCCTACTTATCTACATCCTGCCACCGCTTCTTTTTCTTCCCTGGATCTCACCATTTGCTTTCCGGTCCTGTTTCAGGATTTTACTTGGATGGTAAATGTAGATCTATGTGGTAGTGGCCGCTTTCCTATCTTAATTGATAATACCGGTCCCTCTCCGGTCGAAAGACTTCAGAGATGCTTTATGGATTTGTATTGGTGTCATATAGTGTCAGGATTTAACCTGATCTCAATGAACATTTAATACTCTTCAGCTGACCTAAAACTCATCAACAACAGAAGCAGAACAATTACTCAGGATTTGGTTAGTGTTTTACAATCATGTAACATTTATAGTAAGAATAACACTTGTGGAGGTAAAAGAGCCGGTCGAAAACTTAAACAAAATCAGCGCAAAACATTAAATCTTGACAGTCAAAATAACAACAAACTTATAAACTTTTGTCTAATAAACGTTCGTTCCCTTACCGACAAATGTGCTGCATTGACCGAATACCTAACTGAACATAATTGTGATATTACATTCATCACTGAAACGTGGCTTAACTCTAATACGTGTGGTCCAGTTGTCAGTGAACTAAAAACTTTAGGTTACAACCTTTACCACATCACACGCCGCCACAGAGGGGGAGGGGTTGGAATAGTATCAAAAATTGGGATTCCTGCTGAACTGAAAAAATGCCAATCATTTAAATCTTTTGAAAATGTTGAACTAACACTGAAAACTAACAATGAATCAATTAGGCTTCTTTGTATCTTTAGTTCTTATTATGAATATTTGATACTCAAACCAGGAAAACTACTCATTGCTGGTGACTTCAACATTCATCTTGATGTTCCTACAAATTCTTTTGCAAACCAATTTCAAGATCTTATCCAGTCCTGTGTCTTAGTACAACATGTTGTCAACCCAACGCATAATCTTGGTCATACTTTAGACTTGGTATTATCACACTGCGGTGAACTGGATGTCCAAAACTTGAGGTTAAATGACCCATTTCTCAGCGATCACTATGCTATTCATTTTATGATTCCATGTGATCCAGCTGAGACAACGGCTCATTCTATCATAAAATACAGAAAGATCAAGTGCATTGATCACACCAAGTTCGCAGGCGATATAAAAGAATCATGTCTGTTTACATCTTCACTTTCAATTTCTGATCTAAATGAACTGCTCCATATATATAATAGCGAAACATCCACAAGAAACATGGCCATTAAGCCACATAATCCTTGGTTTAATGATAAAATCAGGGATGCCAGAAAATTAAGACGCAAGGCGGAAAGAACATGGCGGCGGACCAAATTAACAGTCCACAAAGATATATTTAAGGCGGAGTGTAAGCGTGTTGCATCACTTGTAGTTTCTCAGAAAAACGAATTTTACAACAACAAATTGGCTCAATCTGGAACTGATCAAAAGAAAATGTTCCAAGTCGTAGATCATTTATTAGACAGAAACAAGTTCTCGAACTCACTCCCGGAGTACAGTTCTACACAGGACCTTGCAAATAAATTTGTTTCTTATTTCCATGATAAAATAGTCAAAATACGATCTGATATATTACAAAGAAAATCAAATGCTCAAACTGTACCGTCATATAGAAGTAAATCAACAGCTGTGTGGTCATCATTCACCAATCTGACTTGTAAGCAAATTAAGCTTATCATATCAGAAAGCTCTTCTAAACATGTGATCTAGACCCTATACCTACACATCTTTTTGAAGAAACACATCGACCTATTTGTACCCATCATATCCGAAATTATTAACCGATCTCTTTCATCTTGTCACTTTCCCACGGAACTTGCAAAAGCCATTGTTAAACCATTATTGAAGAAACCAAACATGGATCCAGATATTCTGTCGAATTACCGTCCAGTCAGTAACCTATCTTATATTTCAAAACTACTAGAAAAGTGTGTTCTACATCAATTAAATGATAATATCTATTCCAATAACCTTAAAAAGCCATTACAATATGCCTACAAACAATACCACAGCACAGAAACTGCTTTACTCAAAATCACCAACGATATCTACCGAGCCGTAGATCAACAGAAATGCGTTATCTTGGTACTCCTAGATCTATCAGCCGCATTTGATACGCTCGATACCGAGGATCTCCTTGATGCATTATGGTGTGAAATTGGCTTGCGTGGTTCTATCTTTAACTGGTTTAAGTCATATCTAACCAATCACACCCAAGCTGTCAGAATTAGAGATTCAACATCCGACTGTGGTGTACAGCAGGGTTCAGTGCTCGGACCTGTACTTTTTATTATCTTCACAAAGCCTATCACTAAGATTGCTGAAGGCTATGGGTTAAATATTCATTTGTTTGCAGACAAATTTGACACAGACTCTCAACATTCTACGATACAAAATATAGAACTTTGTCTCACAAAAATTCTTGCGTGGATGACAGAACATTTCTTGAAATTAAATCCAATTAAAACAGAAGTGCTAGTAATTGGAACCAAGCAACAACTCCGAAAAATTGATCAAACGTTAGTTAATTTTGATAAAGAAATAATTTCAGGAACCCATAAAGCTATTAAATATTGGTGCTATATTAGACTCGAACCTATCGTTTAAAGATCACATACAAAGTATTTGCTCCACTGCCTTCTATCATATACATCGAATTGGAAAGATCCAACGCTATCTCAATTATGAAAATAAAGAAAAACTCATTCACGCATT